ACAAGCTCAAAATTACAAATAATTATAAATTAGAAATAACTTTCAAGTGTCAAAAGTTATTATAAAAAAATTTTTGATAAATCAGATTTTCCTGAAAAATTTAACTTATGTGAAAGTAATCTTAAAAAAAGTATGGCCCTCAACCTCTTTGAAATTACCAGAACAACATGTTACTTGAACTATATCAATAGTTCAAATGATATTAAATCTAAAAAATTGTGATTTAAAAATTACAGAAGATATTATAAAATATTTCTTTTCAAATAATCTTGTAAGTATTTATAACTTTATTTTTAAAAATATTTCAAAAATTTACTAAAAACTTGATATAAATAAATATAGAAAAAAATAAAAAAAAAACAAAAAATTTTTAATAGAATCTGAATTTGAAGATTCTGAATCTTTACCATTATCTTTTTCTCCTCTTTATGCTATATATTCAAAACAAAAAAAAAGTACATACAAATTTATTCCAGTAGTAAAAAATAATAATGATGATAATTTACCTGTTACTAATGATGATGTAGAAATAATCTTTTCTTCACTTTTATTAAAAAGAAAAACTCGTACATCAGGAAATTTAATTAGATATAGATTTACGGAAATATCACATGACCTCTGGAAATTTACACTTGAAAAATTTAATTTTTTAACTTCAACTGAGATTTAGGTGACAGGGAGTAATTTTCTACTAAGATATTTCTAAAATAGATCGAAAGTCCTGGTTTTTGACTACAAGATGATATGTATTTCATTACCGATTTAATGAAAACAAAAAACAATTTAAATAACTATAACATCAATATTCGTGAAGAAATTCATGTTTAAATTCAAATGTCTATGAAAATTTATACTATAATTTTTTCATAAATTTTCATGGACGTTTGAATTTAAACGTGAATTTCTTCATGAATATCGATACTATAATAATAAAACACCTATTATCTTGTAGCCAAATATCAAGGCTTTCGATCTATCTTAGAAATATCTTAATAGAAAATTACTCACTGTCACTTAAATCTTGGTCAAAGTTAAAAAATCAAATTTTTCAGATGTAAATTTTTAGAGATCATGTGATATTTCTGTAAATCTACGCCTAATTAAATTTTCTGATGTACTGTACCTTCAAAATGACGGAAAAGTAAACACAAACTTACACCAGTAGCAGAAAATAATAATAATGATAATCTGCCTGTTGCTGATGATGATATAGAAATAATCTCTTCTTCAAAAAGAAAACTTGTACTGTACCTTCAAAACAATGGAAACTGACTTCAGTAACAGAAAATAATAATGATAATGATTTATCTATTTCTGATAATGATGTAAAAATAATCTTATCTACTTCTCTACTTTTATTAAAAAGAAAAACTAGTACTGTATCTTCAAAACAATAAAAAAGTACATACAAACTTATACCAGTAGCAGAAAATAATAATAATGATAATTTGTCTATTGCTGATGATAATATAAAAATAATTCCATCAATTCCTCTTTTCCACTTTTATTAAAAAGAAAAACTCGTACTATATCTCTAAAACAATGGAAAAGTATATACAAACTAACTTTAGTAACAAAAAATAATAACAATAATAATTTGTCTATTGCTAATAATAATATAGAAATAATCCCATCTATTTTCTCTTCTACTTCTTCTATTTTTTCTTCTTCACTTTTATTAAAAAGAAAAATTCATACTGTATCTTTAAAATAACAGAAAAGTATATACAAACCTATTTCAATAACAGAAAATAATAATGATGATAATCTGCTTGTTGTTGATGATTATATAATCCCATTTACTTCCTTTTCTTCAAAAAGAAAAACTCATACCATATCTTTAAAACAATAAAAAAGTATATACAAACCTACTGTTACTAATGATAATATAATTCCATCTATTTCCTCTTCTTCAAAAAAAAACTTGTATTGTATCACTAAAATAACGGAAAAATACATACAAACCAACTTCAGTAATAGAAAAATACATACAAACCAACTTCAGTAATAGAAAATAATAATGATAATATAGAAATAAATATTCCTTCATTAAGTGAAATTCGAAAACGTACAAAAGAAAAAGTATAAAATAAAAGAAAAATTAAGGAAATTGAAAAAATATTTGAAAGTAGTAACAATGATAATAGTGATGATAGTAATGATAGTGATGATAATGATAATAGTAATTAAAAAAGCAATAAACAAGAGTTAATTCAAGAAGAAGAATAATTTTTTTTTATTTATATATAAAATTTTTTTTATTTAAATTTGTTTATATATATATAATTTTTTTCATTTATATATTTTATTATATCATTTATATATATATAATATTTTATAAAATTCTATTATTTTATAATAAATAATAAAAATAATTAAAATAAAAACAAATCTTATAAAAATTTATAAAAAATATTATAAAAAAAAGAAAATTAAAAATTTTAAAAAAAATAAAATAAAATAGGCAGATTTTTAAAATATATATAAATTATAAAAATTTATTATATTAAAAATTTTCGAAATTTTATTACATGATAAAATTCTATAAATTTATATTAATATTAAAATTCTGTAATATTTTTGAAAATTTTTGTAGGTCTTATAAATTTATGGAATTTTAATGTTTATAAAATTTTTAGAATATTTTTGTCTATTAAAAATTTCTGATGTATAATTTTCAATCTATACTATACAGTTTTTAAGTCTTAATCTTGAATTTATATTTATAATTTTGAACTTTATTTAAGGTAATATTGAATTTATTATATAGTCTTAATTTTAATTTATATAATTTTGAGCTTTAATTAATATAATTTTTTTAATATATACTATACAGTTTTAAACTTTAATTCTAAACTTATAGTTTTGAGCCTTATTAAGTAATGTTGAATTTATATCAAAGTTTTAAGTTAATCTTGAACTTTAATTAATTTAATTTTGAATCTATTTTAGTTTTTAGTTTTATTATATAGTCTTGAGTTTAATTTATATAATTTTGAATTGTAATTTACTTAGTTTTAAATCTATTTTATATAGTCTTTAGTTTTTATTAAATGTGAAATATTCATGTACTTATTTTTAATAATGGATTTAAAATAAAATAAACTTAAACATATAAATTAAAGTATGATTTTTTATAAAATAAATATATAGAGTATAAAATAATTATATGTTTTAATTTATTTTAAATAAAGTAAGCTTAAATATGTATACTAAAATGTAAAATAATAATTTATTTTAATAAAATTTATATATTAATAAATTTATATAATTTTGAATTATTACTTATTACTATGTAAATTTATGATTTCAGATTACTATTTTGTTTTTAGATTACTATAATTTCAGGTCACTACTTTGATTTCAGGTTGTAACATTTGATTTCAAATTGTAACTTTAATTTCAAGTTGTTACTTTTACTATTTTTATTTTCAGAAATAGTATTAATATATATATACTTAAGAAATATGTATTATATTTAGAGAAAAAAGCAATATGAATATTTAGAATAATTAAAGATAAAATACATGTTAAATAAGTTCATTATTTATTTTATTTTGTAAAAAATTGGTTAAATAAATTTTTTTGCCTATAGTTACATGTGAATTTATAGTTATATATATGTTTATTAGATATATAAATGTATTTTCAAAATTATTTTATATTTAAATTAAAAATTAATATATATTAATTAATAAAATGAAAATTTTTATATAGATATAAAATATCTAATATTTAGTGTAGGGTAATAAAATTATTTTAATAAAGAACAAAATGAATACTTCATATAAACACAGTTTATAGTGAAATTTATTTTATATATTAAATTTAAAGATAATCAAAATGTATCAAAAACGAAACTTTCGTAAGTTAGATGTAATAAATCAGATAATTTTTTAATTTCCCAATCCTTTATGGGTGAGATATCAAGAAAGTTAATGGTAAAAATTTCATTATTTTTATCTTTTGGATTTTTCTATAACGGCTTATAAGAACAATGTTATCTATTAGCGAACTTATGCGACTAGTATTCCAAGTTCAAATTTTTTAAAACTGATATTTTCTGGCATACAACCAACTGGAATTCCGCATATCGGAAATTTTCTGGGTGCTCTCACAAATTGGGCTTCTCTTCAGCGTACTGCTAACGTGAATGATAATTTGTTATATGCTATTGTTGATTTACATGCTCTCACGATGCCACAAGACCCAGGAAAATTAAGAAAAAATAAACTTGATATGACAATTGCGTTATTGGCCTGTGGAATTGACCCCGCAAGAAGCATTATATTCGAACAATCAAAGGTAAATTAAAATTTTATTATGGTGAACCAATTAATTATATTTACACATTTATTTTTTTAGATACCAGCACATTCCGAATGCGCGTGGATACTTAATTGCATAACTCCAGTAGGATGGTTATCTAGGATGACTCAATGGAAGGTGATAATATGTGTGTATGTACGTTCATAAATTAGAAAATTTTTCTCAAAATTTAAAAAAAAAAATTTTTAATTATTATTAGGTAAAAAGTCAGCAAAATAAAAATGTCCAATCTGTTGAAGATATAGATTCAAATTCAGGATTGTGTCTTGGACTATTTGCATATCCTGTATTACAAGCTGCTGACATTTTGCTTTACAAGTAAGAATAATTAAATGTAAAATTGGCACTGGTCGCTTACATATGTTTAATCGAATTTCATTACTTCTTAGAGCAACACATATTCCAATTGGTGAAGATAATATTCAACATTTGGAATTAACACGCGATATTGCGCAAAAAATTAATAAATTGTATAAAAAAGAAATATTTCCTCTCCCACAACCAATTCTTGGTGAGATATTTCCATTAATTGATTCTATTGAAATTTAATTATTCACTTAATTACTTTAATTAAATCTTTGATATTTACACTGAAATTTTATTAATGATAAAATAGCATCAGCAAAACGTGTTATGTCATTACGCGATCCTAGCAAAAAAATGTCAAAATCGGATCCGTCTGAATTTTCGCGTATAAACTTGGATGATACACCATCTGAAATAATTTCGAAAATAAAAAAAGCAACCACAGATCCTATTAAAGGTATTACTTATGACCCTGTAGGAAGACCAGCAATAGCAAATTTAATTACTATTTATGCTGCAATAAAAGTGGTCGCTATTGAAGAAATAGTTAAAGAGCATAGTAATAGTAATGCTGAGCAATTCAAAGAAGCTCTTGCTCAAGTGTTGATAGAAAAATTAACACCAGTGAAAAATGAAATTGAAAAATTAAAAATTGATCCAGGTTACGTGCAGCAAGTATTAAAAGATGGAAATGAAAAGGCTTCTTTATTAGCAAATAAAAACTTGGATGAATTATACAAACTTTGTGGATTAAAATGAACAGATGCATAATCGCTTGTCAGATCATGTGACATAATTACTTAATAAATAAATCCCATAATTTAATACGTTTTCTATATCCAATCATCAAAATTGCTAATCAATTCTTCACAACGCAAAAAATCAACAATTCTTAAAAAAAGCACTTTTTCATTAGATAAATTTTTTCACAATTATTTATCGAGGATGAATAAAGTCGTAAAAGGATTGGAGAGTAAAAATACTTTAATCTTTGGGTGCGATCTTTGAATGCAATGTGTCTTTGTTACAGCTTGCATGAAATAGGTTGCAAGGATTAAAGTAACATTAAATAAACATTTTAAAATGCCAAATATTATATTATGTCTCAGGAAATTATATTATAAAAGAAGATAAAGAAATTTAATATCATAAATGTAATTTACAAGTTTATTAAACAGTAATATTATAAAATTTATAATTTCACAACCAGATTTATTTAAAAATTAACTTTTACAAATTACTATCTGTAATACATATTACAAATTAAAATTAAAAGTGGTGCATTTTTTGGAAGTGTTTAGAAGTGTTTAAATAAAAAAAAATTTAAGACAAAATAACTTAAGATATTGAACACATTAGTTGTTTTTTTTTTTTTAGTATTTTCAACATCAATATAAATTAATAAAGTAGTTTACATATTACATATATTTATTGGTGTCAACACAAAAAGCCAATAATATTATTTACATTTCAGCTTCTTTTTGAAAGCTGATTTTTTGTGAAATATACCAGACATTTTTAAATTACAAAACTCTAATAAAAACATCAAATTTAAACTTCAAATAATCAAAAATCAGATATGTAATCAAAATTTGAACTTGTCTATTTTTATATATTTTTTTTTTGTGAATATAACTACTTGTTTTGATTATTTACAAATTATCCTTTCTATTCACAAATATCTATTATAGAATATAAACCTTCAAAGATTTATATTCACAGATTAAATGATAAAAAACAGATATTTTTTTTTTGATAAGTATAGCAAGGAATATTTGCAAATAAATAGTAGAATTTTCTTTTTATTTTGATTGATCAATTTTGGTGAAGAGAAGTTTTATTAATATAAATTTTAAAATAAAATTTAAATGTAACTTTAGATAATGGTATCTCAATTAACTGCAATTAAATAACCTTTTTAGAATTACATTAGATATAATTAAACTTATCAAAGTGATTATTTTGATAATTGTTTTATTCAAATAAATAGATCTTATCTTGCCATTTCCACTTCTAACAATTCTTGAAAGAAAAAGTTAATGAACAATTATCTGGAATCAATTTCTCTACTTTTTTCTTAAAGAATTGTGATTTTTGCAGATTATTAATTTTCTAACTATGGGTTATTTTTTTTGATTACATAAATTTTACAAAATTACAAATTTTACTTATGTAAAATGATGCTTATGTAATTGAATCATACATTTCACTATAAAAGTAAAATTTCAAACAGGGTAGTTCAAAAATTTTCGACGTTTTTTTTTTTTTTTTTTTTTTCCAGATTTGGTGGTCAAAAATACATTCATTGTTGGTTACTTAAGCTTCTTTGATTTTATTGCCATCTTACAAACCTATCGATATCCAAAAATGTCTTCGGCCTCAAAGCAAAAACGTTTGGCTAAAAAAGCAGCGAAAAATGGTACTGTAAATGCATCATCGAAACCTGGATCAACATCAGTAGTAGCAGCTGCCGAAGATTTATCCCTAAGTTCTTTAAAGATTTCGAACGAAAGAACCGCAAGCGGTGTTCTTACCTCACAACCAATGTCTAAAGATATTAAAATTGAACAGTATAGCTTATCTTTTTTTGGACGTGTTTTGGTTGATAATACAACGATTGAACTGAACTTCGGAAGACGGTTAGTAAATCATTGATTTTATTTGATTTTGGATATATATTCTTTGAATTCATTATAAATTAAAAAAAATTGGGTTGATTATAGATATGGTTTAATTGGGGCTAATGGATCAGGTATATTTTTATTTCCATAATATATGAATATATGCATTCTTATTTCATTATTATTTATTATTATTAATTATATTCATTCCCTCTTACTAATTAAATTAATCAAATTAATCAAATTGAAATCACAAATTGTAGGAAAAAGTACATTCTTAGCTTCTTTGGCTGCAAGAGAAGCACCAATTCCCGAACACATTGATGTAAGTCTAGATTTAATATTAAGTTAAATTTAGGTTAATACAATTTTTTGTAACATATATGCTATATGTTCTATATGTTCTCCTGACAGGTATATCTATTAAATCAAGAAGCAGAACCGTCTGAATTCAATGCCACCGAATATGTTATTCTTGGAGCAAAGAAAGAAGTTGCTCGGTAAATAATTTTAAAAAAATTAATTAATGAATTAATAAAGCAAACTACACGCATTTATTTTAATGTAATTTATAGTCTGGAAAAAGAAGTCGAAGACATTTTAGCAGAACTTGATGGCGCAGATGACCCAAGACTAGAAGACTTATATGATCGTATTGCGGCTCTGGATGAGTCGACATTTCAGACCCGTGCTAATATATTACTTCATGGTCTAGGATTTTCGGAATCCATGATGAAAAAGAAAACAAAAGACATGTCTGGTGGTTGGAGAATGCGTGTTGCTTTAGCAAAAGCTTTGTTTATTCGTCCCACCTTGTTGTTATTGGATGAACCTAGTGAGTAATAAAAGATAGATATCTTTGTTTAAATGATAATTATGAATTATAATAAATATTAAAATATTTTAATTTCATTCTTTTATTTTCTATATAGCGAATCATTTGGATTTGGAGGCTTGTGTATGGTTGGAAGAATATTTGAAAACATATGATCGGTAATTAAAATTTTTATACTATGTTTTTAAATTCTATGATTAATTAAATAAATATTAAAAATATTAATTAAATTATATATATATATATATATATATATATATATATATATTTATATTTGATCTTTATGTGATTTCAGTATTTTATTATTAGTCAGTCATTCACAAGATTTTCTTGATGGTGTTTGCAATCAAACTATACATTTGAATGTAAGTATTATTTTTATTATATTTTATTTATTTTTAATGTTAAAAATCAATTCTTACCTATTATAATTAATAATAATAATAATAATAGGAAAAGAAGAAATTAGTTTATTATGGAGGTGGATATTCAATTTTTGTTAAAACAAAAGCAGAATTGGAAGTAAACCAAATGAAGGCATATAACAAGCAACAAGAGGAAATTGCTCATATCAAGAAATTTATTGCTTCGGCTGGTACATATGCTAATTTGGTTAGACAAGCAAAAAGTAAACAAAAAATTATAGACAAAATGGAAGCTGCAGGCCTGATCGAGAAGGTTCATATATGAGAATTTATTTTTAATTTTTGATTAATTGATTTATTGAATTTTTTAATTAATAAAAATTCCGAATTTCAATACCAAAAAAAATAGGTTGAAACTCAATTAAATTTTAAATTCAAATTTTCACAAGTTGAAAAGTTGCCACCTCCCGTTTTACAATTTGATCAAGTTTCATTCTCATATAATGGAAGTACCAAATTAAATGATTTATTATATAGCGATCTAGATCTTGCAGTTGATATGGATTCTCGGATTGCTCTTGTTGGACCTAATGGAGTAGGTAAGTTATAATTCAATTTTCTAACATTAATTAATTAATTTTTCATATGCATTTATATCGTTTAAACGTTTTTACTTTTTATCTAGGCAAAAGCACTTTACTCAAATTAATGATGGGTGAACTTCAACCTGTAAAAGGTCGAATTGCTCGTCACACAAATTTGAAGTTAGTAAAATATAGTCAGCATAGGTATATTTAAAAGATCTTTTCTATTTATTTCTTTGTTTATACTCAAATTGCATCAATACATCTATTTACCAATTTAAATTTATAGTTCTGATCAACTTGAAATGGATTTAAGTCCTATACAATATATGAGAAAAAAATTTTCTCAAATGAATGAAGATGTTGATGTAAGTATTTTTTATAAAGAATTTTCTTTTCATTAAATTTTTATATTAAATTTTTATTATTCTTTCACAAATTCACAATCGTATCAATATATGTAGTTTTGGCGTAACCAAATTGGTCGTTATGGTCTCACAGGAGCACATCAAACGTCACCAATCATGATGCTTAGCGATGGTTTGAAAACTCGTTTGATCTTTGCTGTATTGGTGTTATCTACTCCTGACATCGTATTAATGGACGAACCTACAAATCATTTGGTAAGATTTTTTTCACAAATTTCAAAAATTCACAATTCTCATAAAAACCCCCAATTAATTTTTTCTTCCCCTATTTTTTAAAAAGGATATGGAAAGCATCGATTCATTGGCAAAAGCTATTAACGAATTCACTGGTGGCGTGGTGTTGGTTTCTCACGATTTTCGGTTAATCTCTCAAGTTGCAAAAGATATATGGTTGTGTAAAGATAGGAACGTGCAACCATGGAATGGAACAATTGAAGAATATAAAAAATATTTGGCTAAAGGTGTTAAAGTTTAAATTTTGAAATTAAATAGAAATTAGAAAAAAAATAATGTAGAATTAAAATAATTAAAATTTATTTTATATAGAATTTATTTTTTTTTGGATATTTTATTTTGGCATTTGTTTGCATTATATTTATAATATTATTATTTAAAAAAATTGTAACAAAAATTTTTTGTTTAATGTTTGATTTTTAATTTTATAATTGACAATGAAAAGTTAGAAATTAAAAAAACAATTTTGAGACAAATTTTTTCAATTTTCATCCACTTGTCTAATTTTACAAATTGGTTAATTTTTTCATTTTTCATTGATTGTTAATGCATTAATTACTACTTCCTGTGTAAGGATCTAAAATAGATAACTAATTAGATAATATAAATTACCTCTACAAGAAAAGTTTTCTTCTGTCAATGAAGATTTAACAGCTGCCAAAATTCATCATATATATATATAGAAGAGAGAAAGAGTAGATATAGAAATAGAGATATAAATAGATATATTTTATTTTATGACACTTAATTTAAAATCTGAAAAGTATTTCTAATTAAAAATTATTATACTGTACATATTATTTCAATAAAAATAATGCATTATTTATTGTATTTACAAAAAAAAAAAATCTCTATCAATAAAGGAAAAAAAAAACTTTCCAAAGGATAATAATAGAATTAAAAAAGAAGTCTTAGACACCATAAAAAAATTATCCTTTAATCAATTTTAAACCGATCTTCAATAGGTAATAAACGTTTCTGTCGTCTTCCTCTCTTTTTCTTACTTCTCTCTGCATAAAATTCATGAGCTAATGAATGAAATTCAGGCGGAAATGGTGATGGGATTTCAGTACGTCCCGGCCTCGAAATAGGGCTTCGCAAAAACACGGTAGAACACGTGTTGAAATTGACTTCCAAATACTCGGGGATGAATAAAAATGGTTGCATGTAAGGTCTTGGTTTAAAGGTGAGTCCTTTTTCAGTTGAAGGTTCAGAAAGAAGAGAAATAGCTTTTGGGTCTACACTAATAAGATCACCATCAGATGCTAAATGTGATGGCTCGGATACCTTTAAAAATATTTTCAATTAAAAAAATCAATCTTAAGAAAACATTAATTTGATCCACGAACCAACAAAAAAGAATCAAAATGATGAGGTCGCAATACCTTCTTTCCGTTTACAGTAATTTTTCCATGAACAACCAATTGTCTAGCAGCCCATATACTTGGAGCAAAACAACTTCTAAACACAATAAAATCCAATCGTCTCTCCAAACACGCATATGTTAAAACTGAAACATGTGGATGTTTACCTTCTGTAATAGCTTTATCACGAGTAATTCGAATATTGGTAGTAGGTAAACGAGGTTCAAATAGACGACGAAACTGTCGTTCGTTAAGTTGTGCACCGTGATAAGCTCTCGTGTCCTTTTTTGCTTGCCATTTTTGTTGAAAGAGAGAACGGTTTTGCAAACGTGGTGGACGAGAACCTCTACTATGCATTATATAAAGATTTTTTTTGGACCATGACATGCGTATTAAGGCCCTACCAAAACTTTCAACGGGCTTACGCATTATTTGTAAATGCAAAAATTTGATTCAAATAATTTTATCAAAATAGTCATATGATCAATTTTCTCGAATTTATAATCTGATCAGATATAGAAAAAAAAATTTCGAAGACTTTGGCGATGTCATCGAAAAATAAGGGAAAAAGAGGCGGACATAATAATTCCACGGCGAATGTACATACAGCAAATTCTATTCGAGATTCAGAGCAAAAACGTAAAACCGTTTTTAAAACTGTCTTAGATTCACCTTTCACTGTAAAATGGAAAGTATGATATAGAACGAGATATTTTTTAAAGATAATTGGAATGCTAATAATTAATTTTTTTATGTTTTAGGCCCACGATATCCCTAGAGGACCAGCAACTTATATTTGAAGAACTTTGCAAGTAAATAATTTGCAATTACTTGAAATAAAATTATCTCATTCACAAAAGATTCTTATAGAATATTATTAATATTATTCATTACTAGAATTTTTTCAAACATAGGTGGAAATAAAAATGAAAATAAGAATCGACATAAGAAAAAAAATAAAGATAAAAAATCCATGATGGATATTGATCCCGATTCTCATTCTCATTTGAAAAGTGAAAAATCACTTGAATCAATATCTAAATTATCTAAATTAGATAGTCTAGGAACTCAATTCGGTTTTGTCGTGGGAATTAATGAAGTAACAAAACATCTTGAACAACCTTTTAATTCTGATATCGTATCATACTTTCAGAAAAGATATCACAGAAATAACCACAATTTAAATAGATCATTAAATTTGAAAGAGTCTAATAAACAACAAAGAGAACCTTTGAGAATGGTTTTTGTATGCAAAGCTGATTTATCAACACCAAATTTGGTATCCCATTTCCCTATTATGACAAGTATAGCTCATGTATTACTTGTACTATTACCGCTAAATTCTTCTAAAGTACTTGAGGAATATACTGGAATCAATAAAATAAGGACTTTAGGAATAAAGGTAAACAGAAAATGAAAATCTGATGTATAAATATAATGTACTTATTATTGATATATATGTATTATTGATATATATGTATTATTGATATGTATTTATTATTGATATGATATAAATTATTATTCCCACAGAAAAGATCGCCCGCATTTGACAACATTTACAAACTGGTTCAAGATAGAGTGAAACCAGTTGCTGCTTCATGGTTAATGCTGCCCTTAGAACAAGAAATTTCAAAGAAAAGAAGAAGTGAAGAGGAGCAAATAGTAGATGATCCTTCATCATCTACTATCCAAAACCAAATTCCTGAAATGTTAACAAAGCAAGTAACATCTGTTGAATATTTTCCCACTAAAATTAAACAACTTAAAACAACTGCTCCCGTAAATAAAGAGCAGCATACGCAAGAAAAAAGATTAAAAAAGAAACAACGAAAACTTCTGAAACAAGAAACAAATTCAAAATTAAATACCTGAAAGGATGTTACATTAGAATTTTTTATATTCTAAACAATAAAGATAAGATAAAATTCTTGTAAAATTGTAAGAATCGAGATAAAAAAAAAAAAAAAGGTAAATTAGATTAGAAAATTTAAAAAATAAATCAAAATTATTTCTACTGTATAATTGTTATTCAGTATAGTTCTGTCTTCAATTTTGCAATTTCAGAAGTCTAACATATTTCTTTAAATTTAAACATCATAATGAAAAACATTTCCAAACTAGAAGTATTAATAATTAACTTACTTGTTTTTATAATAATAATCTAACTCGTATATTATCACATGAATAAATAAGAAAAAATAAGAATAAACAGTTATAAAGATTCTATTATCCATTCGCCTAAATCTTCGATTATTTTATGATGTTCGTTATTTGATGAAGTAATTATATTATCAAATATAGCTTGAGATAATTCATATTTATTTCCTAATTATTTAAGTAGTATATCGATTTGAAGATGAAAATATTATTTTAATTTTTATAATAATATAATTAATATAATACATATAATACCTTTCAAGGAATTCTCCAAAAGTGTCACCAAGTTTTTATATTCAATATTTGACACATTTGATGCAGTTAAAGAGACTTTTGTTATTATTCCATTTTTAGATTCGAAAAATGCTTTCTGTGGATATAAATATATTTTAGTTATCATTTAAAGGATTCAAGACACACATATATATATATATATATATATAAATACCACATGACCCCATGAAAAATTTTTTTCAAACTCGTTGGTAAATTCTGGAGTTTGACCTAAAGTCCAATTCCAAGACTAAATAAATAAATACACATAGATTCAAATTTAATAATTATGAATTTTATAAAATTAGTAATACTTTAAAAATGATTTCTTTAGATTTACCTCGAGTTCTTCGCGATACTTAGCAATTTTTGGAATTTCAGCAATCATATTTTCATCAACGTAAATAGGCTGTATATTCAGTATATTTAAGTATAAACTTAAGCTAAATTCGAGAATAAATTTATTAATTTCTTTCAAATTTACATGTATTTCATCTCTACGTTCTTCACATATGGGATTATTGATGGGATTATCAATGGGATCATTATAAGATTCTTTAAATTCTTCCCAGACAGCATTACAAAAAGAATAATGATTTACAGTAGAAGAATATTTTCGAAGATTCACTACGGGCGATGGAACAGATTTTACTCCTTTAGAGATTAAATTATCCTAAATACACGAACGTGATAAAATCAATTAAACATATATATATATATATATTTTTTGGAGTTATATCACTTTATATCAACTACCTTTTTAACTTTCAAGTAATCCTTAATTTGATTTAAATCTGTATCGATGAGCATCGTACCGTGATGGTAAGCTCTTGACTTAATTAATTTGAATGCAGATCCAGAGACGTATAAAAATAAATAAATTAAGGAATTATTAATAATATAAGATGGGAAATTACGATATAATATTACAAAAAAAAAGGATATTTTACGTCCTTCGATCTCAATATCATAACGCTTATTAACGTAAGCATTTATATTAAATCTTTTTTTCAAAGTATTAGCCACTAATTCTGCTGCGTATCTTCGAGTAAAATTTTGACGTGGCGTGATTAAGGTGTAATTGGAGTTATCGAGATCCTGTTATGGTAAGATGGATGAATGTGTGATACGATAATTTGCTTCCAAAATTGTAAATTAGAAAGCAAAACATTAAATGAAATTACTTGAAAAACAGTTCCACCTCCACTTTTTCTTCTAATAATAGGAATTTTATTTTTTTGGAGAAGATGAATATTACATTCTTTCCAAGGATTCTAAATCATTAATACAATTAAATAATTTTTCAATAATCATTCAATTTAAGAATATCATCCAAATTTTTTATTTTATTATTGTGATGTATAGATGTATACCTGGTTTCTCCCAATTACTACACAAGAACTATTTCTCCATAAGAAAAGAATAACAATTGAAGGATCGGTATCTCTAAATAACCTTTACTTGAATCATAAACAAAATATTTATTAAATATATATATATATATCCAATTTTTTATTTAAATAAATTGTGTCCTTGTTTTTTTTTTTAAAAAAAAAAAATAAAATAAAATAAATAAAATAAACGAAATTCAAGATATATTACAACTGTACCACTCTTCAAATGCTATGTTCGTTAGTGGTTCCGTTAAATTTGAAATATAACATTGGAATTTCTTATAATATGATATAATAAGATAATAAGATATATGATATATAATTTTTTTTTTTATTTTAGAAAAATTAATAATATTTACAATCAAAAAAAAAAATCAATTTTTAAGCTATTTACATTGGATTTAATATTATCAAAACCACTCGAGTAAAATCGGGAGATGAATTTAGCCTCAGAGCGATTTGTTCTCAAATGACCGGCATGAAACCGAAGGTACCATGGTTGAACAAAAGACATATATTCCTATTTTTAATCATAAAAAAATAAAAAATGGTATATATTATATAAGTTAATATGAAAAACTCGGGAAATTTTATATACGTAATTGTATCTCTTCTGGGTAATGTTGTAAACTAGTTAAAATATCGCTTATTTTCAACGACCGAAGAGGAGACTGCCTTTAAGTTTTGGCCACAGACTGACTCTAAGAATGTAAATTTCAAGATTCCTAAGAGCTTCGATAGGGCCTTTATAATAAATTTTTTTTTTTTTTTTTTTTTTTTTTTTTTTATATCAGATATATTAGATCTTACCTTCTCGAAAACAAAAATAAAAAAAAAGTGAACTTCTACAAAAATTTTTTGCTAATTTTATACTGATCTACAAATCATAATTTCCTTCGACTACTACTATAAATGGTGACGTGATCTGCAATTATTTTAAAAAATTCGAGTGTATATCTTCATAATTACAAAAAAAAGGATTAAATAAATTAATTATATATTTGTTTTATTTATTTATTTAAAATAAATTTTTCTCGATCTAAATGTTTATAATCAGTTCTTTTCCAAGAAGTTTTCCAGGATTTTGCTATTTCTTTAGCCGCCGAAGTAACTTCCGGAAATTCTTCTTCAACTTCATTTACTAATACTATAGATGCCGGTGTTTTTGTTATATCATGCATTTTTAACCAATCTTGATTTTTCATTTTTTCCATTGCATCGGCTAACATTAATAATGTTTTTTGATGTGGAAATTTATCAATAAGACTTAAAAGTCTTTTTTGTTCTTTAATTGATATTATGGATTGTTTACGATCAAAATGTTTCCATATTTCTAATTGTTGATACCATCCTTCCATTAAATTTTTATCTATAATAGAACAGGCTTCTTTGATTTTACCAGATAATATAAAACTTTGTGCATAATGATTTAAATTATGAGAATCAAATTCAAAACCTTCCTGTTTAAGTTTTTCCCATTCTTCTTGAATTAAATCATATCGTTCAATTTCTGTGAGAGCATCAATTACAACAGAAACTGCATGACGAGGTGGAGGTAATGGTTTTGTTAATGAATTTAATGGAGAATCAAAAGCCGAGAATAATAATGATTTTGAAAAATCCTTTTTTGAATTTTCTGTTTTCATTTTTTTTTGTTCTCCTTGTTCTCCTTGTAAGGGTAATGTTATAAGTATAGGATCAGGTCTTGTTACATGTGATTCAACCCATTCTTTTAAAGTTAAATGTGATGTTGTTAATTCAGCATTTTCACGTAAACTTTTCCATAATTGCCATACAGCTTCATAATTATGAATACGACGATATGCATCCATAAGAATAACATAAGCGTATGCATTATGAGAAATTCCTAATGTTGTCATTTCATCAAATATTGCTCTTGCTGAATCAATTTGTCCTAATTTTGCATATGCATCCATGAGAGGTGTAAATATAGTTGGAGGTATTTCATTTCTTTCTCCCAAATTTTCATTCAAAGATTTACTTTGATTAATTAATTCTGTGATAAGTCTTCTAGCGAATTCTAAATCTCCATATCTAGCATGTCCATGAATTAATACTGCATAAGTTACATATGTAGGTTTTATACGATTTTTAATCATTGTTTCATAAAGTGTTTTTGCTGTCTTAAAATCACCTTGTTGTAAATAATGATGTATAAGTACGGTATAAATATGTGCATCAGGATCTAATTTATAATTATTTTGCATATGTTTAAAAATTGATGTAGCAATTGATAATTGTCCTATTTTACAAAATCCATCTATTAAACAACAAAATGTATAAAGGTCAGGAAGTATTAAAGATTCTAACATTTCATTATATAAATTTTGTGCACGTTTCATATCTAACTTTTCTACGTAGGCATTTAATAAAACGTTATAAGTAAAAGTTTTTGGTTTTATTCCTGTAATTTCCATATCCATAAAAATTTCTTCTGCTTTACGTATATCATCACCTTTTGTATAAGCATGTATTAAATTTGTAAATGTGTATACATCAGGTTTAATACCATAAGTACGCATCTCATTAAATAATATTAATGAACTAATTGGATCTTTTCTTTCAGCAAGAAGTGAAATTAAAGCATTATATATTCGAACATCTGGTTCTATACCAGATGTAATTAATATACGACAAATTTGAAATGCTTTATAAATATCATTTTCACGACAATAACCAAATATTAATATATTATAAGTTATATCAAGAGGATTAATTTTATCCATTATCATATTACTAAAAACTCTTTCCATAGATTTTGTATCATTTACTTTAGCAAAAAGTTCAATTAATGCAGTATAAATAGTTGATTCAGGTTTTAATCCAAGTGTACTCATTTTTTGTAATGCTCGAAGTGCTGAATTGACTTTCCCTAATTTCGCATATGTACTTAATATAACTTTAAATGTTCTAATATTTGGTTTTGTTTCATTTTTTGAAATCATTTCTTCAAAAAGTTCTTTTGTCTTTTCATGATTTTCTGCAAGACCATAAGTTTTTATCAATACATTATATGTCACTGTATCAAAAGGAATTTTTAATGATTCCATTTCTTTAGCTAATTCCAATGCTTTATCAATATTTTCTTGTTTTCCAAGATTATGAATTAATGAATTATAAATATAAGGAATTGGAATCATATCAAGTGATCTCATTTTTTCATATATTTTTATGGCTTCATTAAATTTATTTCTTCTTAATAATTCAAGTACTATTTCTTTCACAATTTCGGAATTTACAAGTTTCTTTTCCATTAATTCATTAAACCATTGAATTGCTATTGCATGATCAATATGAAATTTAAAAATATCTGTTAAAATAATTTTTGTTTCTCCATTAGGTTCTATTTGTTTTTGATGCATTAAAGAGAATATTTCAATAACATCTGAAAGATCATTTCTTCCATCTCCATTATTAATTTGATTTAATTGATTTAATTGATTTAATTGATTTGATTGATTTGATTGATTTGATTGATTTGATTGATTTGATTGTTTTGATTGTTTTGATTGCTTTCCATAAGCTTTCATCATCATATGACAAGCAATACGATAAGGACAAGTGGAAAATGGTACACCTAATGGTCCTTCCATATTTCGAATTTCATTAAAAATTATTCTTGCTTTACTTATATAATTATTTTCTAAATATGTTTCAATCAGATAATTACGAACTGTTTGTCCTATTGTCATATTTTCTTTTTTCATGTCATTATAAATTATAAGAATTTTTTCTAAACGACTAAAACGATTCTTATCAAATTTTTTGATTGAATGAAGCAATCTATTAATAAATTTTTTATCAGTACCTTTCAAATTCCCATTTTTTACAAGTAACTTATATTCATTCCATATTTTATTAATATTTGTAGAAGTTTGTAATACATTACGAAAAGATTTGGTCCAAGATGAATTATGAGACTCTTCTATCTCTTCTATTTCTTCGATATTACAATCTTGATTTTCTATATCTTGATTTATTATATCTTCATTTTTTGCTTGATCTATAACAATCTTGTCTTTATATATATCTACTTTATCTACTTTATTTACTTTATCTATCAGAGGATCTATATTTTTTTCATTAGAATCAATACTATTATTTGTACTATTATTTGTACTGTCATTTATACTATTATTTATATTGTTATTTTTACCGTTATTTGTACTGTTATTTCGTATTAAAGAATAAAAAGAATTTTCGATAGTGCGTTTTAATTTCCATTTGACAAATAAATTTTTAGCTACGAATGTTCCTTTATTTAATTCTTTGGAATTACACTTTCTTATTGCATAATTAAAATTAGATACGCGTGAAAAAGTATTTAATTGCCAATAAATCATAATTATTTTTGCCAAGTATCTTGTTCCCTTAAATGTCCCTTTATAAATCATGTCCGAAAAAATTGTCGGAAAAAAAAAAATTTCACAGATTGATAACATTTTTGTCCTTTTTTGGGTTTAATAAAATTGGGTAGATCGGATCAACTTTTGAAAATCGTATAAATTAATTAATTAATTAATTAGATTTCAGCTTTATAAATAAATATATTTATAATTGATTCAATTCTTTCGAAGAATAGATAAGAATGCAAAATATAAAATAATCCAATTTATTGATTTATATTTAATGATTAAAAACATAAGTATATTATATACCAAAAAAAAACCTGAACATAAAAAAATCTAGACTCATTTAATTTATATCTTTGGAATTTGTTAATTCAATTATTATTATTATATAAGGAGTCTAAATAATTAAAAAATCAAAAAAAAATTTTACTCAAATTACGAGAGATTCTCTTCTATATACAGTATATTTTCTGATGACAAAAATAATAAATCGAGAAAAATTCGACTATATGACTATATGTCACCCTCTTGACTCAATAATATAGTAATAGTGGATGGTGCAAAATGTTATATATATAAAAAAGAACGTCCAGGTGTTCCATGTCTACAAGAAATAATTTTTTTTTTTTCGGTGCGTACGTATGTTGTGACATAAAAATAAAATCTGTGATGTGGTTCTTTAAAAAAAAGATTCGATAAATCTGAATAAATTTAAGTTTTTATACTAAGTATTTTTTTTTTTAGAAAAGGAATGATAGATGGAAAAGGAAGAATAAAGTTATAACGAAAATAATGAATGTAATTATGTATAAATTCACAAGTTAATATATATTAACAACCAATCGATGAATTTATTAAAGATTTTTCTCTCTCTCTTTTTTTTTTTTTTGTACATCATCGAAAGGGAATAAAAAAAGAAGGAAATGATACAATAATGAAAAATTTTTTGTTGAAACACCTTTTTAGTAAATATTAACAATCATCATCACATATCAAATGAGATGAATAATTTGAAGATAGGTTTAACACAAAAACGAAATGTATATGAACAAGTAACCCGGATATAATCATATACTTGAGCTTAGAACCTTCGTTGGTGTCGAAATAACTCTCGCGTACAAAAAAATTATCTTTATTTCTTTTCGGGTGATTGGTTTGGATATTGTGGAACCTTGTTACCGTTCGTAGTAGTGTTCGAGGGTTGCCAATAACCTGCTGTGGCTGGTTGCATATAAGTATTATTCGGTGTTGCATATTGGTTCAAATGAGCCTGTTGGTTATATTGAGGATAACCGGGTGACATATATTGTGGAGCTGCAATTCCGCCTGTACTCAATGCCATACCATTAGCAATTCCACTATATTGATTATAGGGGCTCAGACCAAGAGTATAAGGAGGCTGTGGTTGTGACATCTGATTTCCGGACGTTTGAGGCTTTATGAGATAAATGAGATGAAGTAATAAATGAGATGAAGTAATAAATGAGATGAAGTAATAAATGAGATGAAGTAATAAATGAGATAAGGTAAATGAGATGAGGTAAATGAGATGTATGAAATGAGAGATAAATGAAATGAGATATTTGGATGAAATGAAAAAAAAAATAATAAAATAAATAGTTATTTAATAAGGAGAGAAAATAATACCTTTCTATCATTATCATATACATCATTGTTGTTATTATTATTGTTTTCTACGGATGGTGAATTATCGTTGTTACCGTAGCCGGGGGTACTCTGCGCAGTACGTGCCTAAAAAAATAGATACAGTATAATACGTATATGTAAGGAGACCAAAGGCAATAATAAACAAAACAAAAAAAAATTGTTTTATTATTATTATTATTATTCAAGAGAGGCCTAGTTGGCTTTATTAATTAAAACATTTACATGAAATAAAAACGAAGCAAAAAAAAAAAAAAAAAAAAAAAAAAAAAAAAAAAAAAAAAAAAAAGAACTCCTAGCGTAAAAAAATAAAATTTTGTCTGTTTTTGGAGACAAAAAAAAGGAAAAGAACAAGATGTCATCAA